GACCAGTAATGCCAAATTTAGATATTTTGTTTTATTTAGAAATGTTATAATACGCAAAAATTGGTCGAGATTTAGAATTTCTATTCAGAAATGTTAGAAACAACTAAATTTTATTAAAATTTAATTTTTTTTGCTTAAAAATGTTTTAAAATAATCTAAACTTCATCCAAATTTAGTCTTTTTGTTTAGAAATGTAGAAATATTAGGGACAGACATAACAAAAGGGGTGACAGGTATTCTCCTTGAAAGATTCTTTGTCGGATGTTCAAGCGATTTGAAGTGGCAGTGCCTTTGGTTTGATATAGGTATAATGTGGTTTTCCAAAGTCCCATGCTATATTTAAGGAAATTTACTATCTCCGCGGAGACTCTATACATCTCAAAAGCCTTAAGGATACACTATCAAAGTCTTTACTGTTCCAAGATTTCTGCCTTTTTTCCTGCAATTTTCCAGGATCATTTTATGCAGTTAACCTTTGCAACCATACGAACCATTAATTTTCTCGCCTGTTTTCAGGAATGGTTTTCTCTGCTTAATCTTTACTCTTCGCCTAATTTCGAGTTCAACGAAGTTTTTTAATTGACCCTCCTGGACGATTCAAACGCTCTGATATCGACTGACACGAATTCACCTTCAGCAAGGCCAGGATACTTATCTATGTTACTTTAAATCTACAATTTACTTTGCCAGAACAGCGAAATCGTCCATTATCCGGCAGGTTTTCTTTTTACTGATAACATCTTCTAAATTCAGTCTTTTGTCTCTGATTGGGTGATTTTGATTCAATCTCAAAGTTCACCCCCCCTTCTTAGACTAAAGATTTTAGCTGACATGAAGTGGAAAGAGTATCAACTTCTAAGTCTGCTGCTAAAAAAGTTGGTTCACTCTGTCGTGCTAGAAAATTTTTTCTCTTCAGAATCTATCTTACATATTTATACGTCTACCATTGCTATGGATATTGCTACCACATCTTGTATGGTGCTCTTGCGATATATTTAGAGATTTTTGATAAAATCCAAATAATATTCTGCAATGTTATTTGTCCTGACCTGGCATCTCGGTTTCATTCTTTTTCCTACAGCTGTAACGTAGCTGCTCTGCGCCTTTTCTATAAATACTTTCATGGTAACTGTTTTGATGAAATATCCGCTATGGTACGTAGACTTCATGAATTTAAGCGCTGTACTAGATTGGCAGCTAGGTCTCATCATTTTACAGTTGAAATGGCTAGATATAACCGTAAGTTCTATTCTAACAGATTTTTGTATCGAACTTCTCACTTGTGGAACTCTCTTCCGAAGTCTTGCTTCCCAGTCAACTTTGATCTTCAAACATTTAATTGCAATGTCAATCGTTATTCTTGTTCTTTTATTATCCTTTCTCCTTAATTGTATTTTTATCGTATTCCTTAACACTCAGTAATCCTTTGAATTCTAGTGACATTATTGTCTTGCTTGGGGTGAAATGGTTAAAAAAAGTCACAGAGGATATTATGCTTATAATTCTCTAGGTCACACTATGTTCTCTGAATATTGTTACGGTTTTTTGGGTATACAACGTATATAACTAGTGAGCGAGTCAAAATGACTTATTTCCCTTTATAGTCGACCAATAGAAGGTTGACCAATCAGAAGCCGCACAACACTGTATCCGTCGTGTATAAAGGCGGCCATCTTTGTTTTCTCACCGGAAGGACGATAGGAAACTTGTCCGGCGAACAATACAGACGGAAGAACTACGCTCTGTTACTTTGCTGCGATATCCACTGCGAACCTGAACTACGCTTTCCTACTGTCTCCGAAATATTCACTGCCAACCTCTGGATTCTATACTCAAAGACGACCGTCATGAAAATGTCTAACAAATATACCATTATTTTGTATGCTTTGGCGTTTAGTCATTTATACAAATCCCAGAGAATTAATTTTGTCTTTTATTCTTTGTGGACTAATTTACTATATTCGCTGGTTTATGTAGATGACTTGCCTCTTTCTACATTTGCTATTCTTTTCTGTTTTATTTGTATTGGCCATTATGTAGTTTGATCTTATAACATTATTTTGGGCCTCTGTTAATAGTGATTTACTTTATCCCTTTTATACTTCCTTTGAGTAGCCATGTTCAAGTCGATTTATTTACAATTTTACCGATCCTTCTGAAATGTTTATAACATTTTTTCATCCTTTTTTGACTTCTCATTTTGTTTTCTGCTTTTCTTTATATCACTATGTTCATTGTAGTTCAATTTTGCCTTTCTAAGTAGCCTTTTTTTTATTTATGTCGCGCTTGGGATTTCCAGGTTCTGTAAGTTTGATATATGTGCAGGCTCGGAATTGGATAACGGTTCGGAATTGGAAATCGGAGATCTAATTTCAGTTCGGTCCATTATATTCAATTATGCAAACATTTTCTCATGAAATGTATGAATGCATCTTTTCTCCCCCTAACTATGGGTTAATTAGTAGAACATGTATCAGTAAATCATTATTATCTCCAAAATATTTTTCATGATCTATAAATATTTTCTGGTTTTAAATAACCTGCAAATAGTTGATAAGTATTAAATAACATCAATCAACCTGAATAGTGATCTTCCACTTCTTTTAATGTATAACCCATCAATTTTGTTTCTTAGGCACAGCGTCTTATATATTTTCTTTAGTTTCGTGGTTTTGGTTTGTCAGTTTCTCTTATCAAGTTCAAGAATGGCCAAATATTATAGAAAATGCTCTGGTTGTTTTTTTTTCACCCTTTTAATTAAATTTCACCTTTAGAATTTGGTTTCCAGAAATTACCTTGTTCTTGCTATGCTGACTTTCTCTTCATCTCTTTCAGCTTGATGCTATGCCCATCAAAAATTGCTTATAGCCATCGTGTCCGTTGATCGTCTTGTGGATTTCCTAGCTGTAGAGTACAGTTCCTTCAGCGTTCACGTTTTCCCCTTCTTCATTTCAAACTTTGCATTCCTGTATTGATTTTCTGAGCATAGCTTAGATGTGGCACAAGGCCAAAAGTAGGGGGCACCCAGTGAGGATCGAACTCACTATTCAATAGTAACTGTTTTAGCGAGACAAGCTTGCTAACCATTACTCCACGCCGAGGTGCCCCCTTTGCATTTCTATACACTTGATGGACATTCTAACAACTTATATGGTATTATCCAGTATCATTATTGGCAAAACGTTTGTCATCCATATACGTGAAGTGGGAGATATCTTTCTGTAATTTGTGACCTTGTATGCATTTCTATTATATATACTTCATTGGTTTCATCACTATGAGGCGTTGATAGTGAATATCCTTGGTGAATATATTATTCACCATTGTTAATCTGCTCTTGCGTTTAGTTTCATTTTCCTATTTTTCATTACCTTTATATGAATTTCATTAGAAAAACTAAGATCACACACATTTTACATAGGTAAAGTTCTTCGAAATGTGTGAGCTCTACTTGTAAGTACAATTTTTTATACTTCTTTAAGGCACGCATTGTCAGGAATCCCTTCAGTGAATCTATCGGGACATTTTCCAATCAAACTGAGGCCTCTAACTATAATTGGAATTATTGATATCTTCAAGTGTCACATGTTTGAGATTTCCACTTCAAGACCCTTGTATTTTGATAGGTTTTTGAAGATCTTCAAAGAAACATTGCAATCTGCAGTGACTGCCATGTCAATAGGAAAGCATATTTTATTTTTGTGGTGTTTGATCATGATGTTTAGGCGATTAATTTTGATTGTTCTGTATGTGTGTATTGTAAAGTCTCATAAAATTGTTACAGGTCCTGTATTCGGGTCTGAGTGGTGTTTATACAAGTTACTTGCAGTTTCCCTCCCGGAAAAGTGGCATATTTTCCAGTGTAGATATCAGCCCACACTAACATGTCGAGTTTTATATTCAGTGGGTGCTAACGCCGTCCAACCTGATACAAGATGGTCAATTATTTATGGATATTTATCACAGAATCTGTGTCCTATTTGTTTCTATTTTCTCTAAAACTTCATCGTTGCTCACTTGTTCAGTCCTCCTGTAGAACCAGATTTCTTCAAGTCTCTTTTTCATCTGTGAGGAGATGGTTCGGTATTCACTGCCGTATAGAAGGAATGATATTACGTAACAGTTCTGTAGTTTTTTTCATGTTTCTTAATACTTTGCTTAGCTTTTGCAGGGCATCTTTCGCTATTCCAAAACTTCTACGTGTTTCAGTGTAGCATTTTCCGTCCTCTGTTGAAATACTTTCCAGATATATAAATTGTTGCACTTGTTTGAATTTGGTATCACCAATTTGTAAATTGCATGTTGGACAATTCATGGATTCTTTCTTTTTGCTTGGTAAATTAAAGAATTATGTATTTGGCGTCAGTTGTTAGTGTGCGAGTCTAGTTAAATACTATCATTTTGACAGCTAATAACCAAAACAGACTTTCACACATAAATGACTAGCACTCTTTAACCTTTAAAACTACTATTTTCACCATTGGTTATTCTGCTAATCATAGTGAATATCGTATATTCAATGCATTTCTATTCAACTCTTTCTTAGCAAGATCGTTTCACACATGCATATCGATACATATTCCTTAACTTATATTATTATATATCTTTTAGGCACACATGTCATTCAGATGCTTTTTTACTTAACCATCCTTATTTCTATTGCATAGACGTCTTCAGTAAGGCCAAACTCTCACACGTACATACATATATGTGCACGCTTATACAGAAAAAGCTTACTTGCTCGACCTTTTCCCACCCTTTCACGTAGTCTCTCTCTCTCTCTCTTTCTTTGTGTCTTTCTCGTACGTATAATCACTATCGTACTTAATCGTGTCCTCTACTCATATTTTTCTCTCTTTCGAAATGCTTTTTCTGGTGCATACGTGTGCTCGCTCTTTCCCCTCATACATCCTGCTACTAACTCAAAGAAGCAAACAATCATTTTTCTATTGATTTTTTTCCTTCCCGCCAACCTAATCAAATCCTATCGTTGTGGTCACTCATGCAAAACATTTGAATTGCTTCGGACTGGCTTCAAAGTCATCGCTCCAACAACGATGTTCTAAAAAATAAATAAATACAATCAAGTAAAAGGAAAATTGTGTTTCCAAAAAAGATATTGCTGTTTTACTCAAAATGCTGCATGTTGGTGCAATGTTATTAAAAAGTAAAGAAAGAGATAAAAGAGGACGGAGGTGATAGGGAGAGGGTGTGACAGAGAGAGAAAGAGAGACAGAGAAAGAGAAAGAGAGAGAGAGAAAGAGAGAGAGAGAGAGAGAGAGAGAGAGAGAGAGAGAGAGAGAGATTAAAGAACCAGAAAGAAGAAAAAGACGGTAAAAATAAAAAGTGAAACAGACAGAATAAAGCAACTGGGAAAGGGTGTCAAGAAGAAGAAGAAGAAGAGGAAGAGAAGAAGACGAAGAAGAAGAAGCAGCAGCAGCAGCAGAAGAAGAAGAAGCAGCAGCAGCAGCAGCAGCAGCAGAAGAAGAAGAAGAAGAAGAAGAAGAAGAAGGGAACAGCATAGGGACTTAAAAATGTACGTAATTAAAACGGTGGCAAGAAACTGAACTATCCAAAAACTTGCATGTATAGTTTGGAGATAATATGTAGTAAGTATAAACATGGAAATCCAACACTTAGAGGTGGTAATCACCGTCAACCTTTGTCTCATGATCAGCGGTGGGGTCGCGTAAGATGCACATCGATGTACTTACCCTGCTCCTTCCACATGTCTCGGTTGTTTGCTAATACCCGGGTTTCTGTGAAGGATCGTCCAGTCAATTCAGTGATATTATCAGGTCATTTCTTTCTCTATCTACCTCTTCTTTTGCCTAAGGTGATACCTTGTAGAAATGACACTGGAAAGATTGTTGGCTCTTATGATATGTTCACACCATTCAACTTCCTGTTCTTGATGGCGGCTATGAGGTCTTGCAAAGGGCCTGCTTCTTAACTGAGGCCTTCTTGCACTGTATTATTTGTAATACGGTCTACGTCGCAGAGGGTCTAGGATGACATTTCTAATACTTGGATTTTTCGCTTTCCAGCTTCTCAACGCACCTCTCTCTCTCTCTCTCTCTCTCTCTCTCTCTCTTATTAGCGAAATGTCAATAAAGATCCATAGAAAGACTCGATAAAGGAATATATTCATAAAAATGTTCTTCATACTTCTGCATATTCTAACTTTTATGGGAGGTTTATATCATAAATTAAAGAAACTGTTATTAAAGCGATAGTTTATTCTAAAATAAGCAGCAATTACGGTCTGTTCAAAAATTATTTTGGGAATATCATTTTGTAAAAAGTTATTTATCCTAACACTTAATTTATAATATATCCAAAATTATGCTCTTCAGGGCGCTTTTCAATATTTATATAATTGCTAGAAAGTGTAAGTTTGAAATATCCTCGTTTTTCATACCAATATATTCTTCGAAATCTTTGGTAATACTTCGTATATAATATAGGCTATATACATAATGCATTATGAGCACCAAGACGTGGCAAGAATTACAACAACAGGCTCGTAACAAGCGATCTTGACAGGATCCTAAATATATAAAGTCGTAAGCCATTTCAAGTAATCTATTAATATATGTTGAATTATGGTCAAGAAATATTGGCTAACTTTGACAAACGCCAAACTATTAAGGTAAGAAAATGGTATAACATGCGGGGTGATCCAGTTAGATCGTGGTGAGTAGTGTTTGGAAGAGACAAAAATCACCAATCACCGATAAGGCCTAGGACGCCAAGACTTATCGTAGTGAGAAGCGAATGGATTTTTTATCGCTAAGTATGAAACTGTAGAAATAATTATTACAGGTGATTTTTCAGCAAAAATTATTTAAGAGCAGAAATCACACCTGACTACCTTGGATGTGCAGGTGGTGTAATGATTAGAAATCCGAAATCCAAAATTAGCGACCTGAATTCGAACTCCAGTCAAGGTTGTCAGATTCACTTCCGTAATAATACCGTTTGCTTTGAATTCATCTACACCCCCTTCAGGGTAAAGACTACTCACAATTCTCTAGTCATGGCTGGCAAATACTATAGGAGAGGGACACCTCTGAATTCAAATCCCTGTGTGTAGCTGGTTGGGCGCATACTTGTACTATAAAGTTCGTTCAGAATAGTTGCAGGATAAGCCATAAACTGGCTCTATGAATGTTAAATAAAAACAAATAAGCCTGATAAAACGGGCAGGTTCGTAAATGATCAACTGTACTAAGGATTTATTGTGTGCTTCCAAGTGAAAAAGGTTTGATGATGTTAGTTCGATAAAAAAATACATTTATCATTTATACAGTGAAATGCTGTTCAACAGAAACAGGAGAAAAACAATGTTAATGTTGTTTTCTTCCACTTAAAAGTTCTTCAAGAGCAGAAATCACTCCTGTCTACCTCGATCGTTCCGAAGCAAAAAAGACAAACACGATTAATCGTTTTTTTTTTTTTTTTTTTTTTTTAGGAAAACAGTGAAACAAACAAAAATTGGGACAGATTAAAATGCGAAAAGGAAACCTAAATCCATTTTTGGCGGATGTTAGTCGTACAAAAAATAATAAAATGCATTTATCTTCATTTTTAAATTAAATACCATTTAAGAATAAAAAAAAAAAAGAAAAAAGTAGTAACGCGTTTTTTTTTGCCTTGAAAATTCTTCATTTGAAATTATCTTGACCATTCCGATTGTCGGCATAAGAATAAAAAACGAATTGAGCAAATATACAAAAATAGAAAGTAGTGCGAAAGTGGTATGCGTCATTTCCCGAGATGCAATTCTACAAGAGACACAAAACATAGAAGGATATATAGGGCGTGTAAGGTATTTGAGGACATATTGGGAAACGTAAGAAAAACAAGGATATTTTACAAACAACTAAATTTATTGTTACAAAACTTGGTTCACTGATGCAGTAGTGGTTGGATTACATGTTTATGCGAAAACAAAATCATTGACACGCACGCATTAATATTGGCGCCTTTCAGAGAATCTGTCGTATGGGGGGACCGTTGATTAGTCTCACGTTCACTAACGTCCCACGTGTAATAGCCAAAGGGATTTTGGTCTGGCGAGTTATTTGGGAATATGTTTGTTAAGATCAAGGGCTTTACAACTGTTTCTTATTTTTGTGCCGGTATGAGCTATGCTCTTTCTTAATCACCTGTAACTTGTATCAAATGACCAACGACAACATATTGCGGATTATGCCCTTAAACACCTGGAAATCTCTGGCAATAGCCTTTATGGACGTCCCAGGATTCGCATCAATAATGTTCTACACCCACTGTAGGAATTATTGTCCTGATACTGTCAGAACGCCGTGAGTACTTTTTGAGCTTCCCTACACATCCACGATGGACGCTTCCAACTCCTTCCGAACTTTGTGCACAAAAGATCTGGCAATTCCACCCACACAAAAAAAGAAGAAATCTAAACATCGCTGTGCTTTGCGCGTGTCACAACAATTCTAGCATGTCGTTCCAACTCATGTGTTAGATGAGAATTAACTGAGGACATTAATTATCACGTAACTGCAGCCACATAATCACATGTCCTCAAATACCTTACGTACACTTTTTTAGTCGGAGGATAAAAACTTAAATTAATAAAGGAAAAAGAAATGAATTGACTAATAACTCTAAGAAAACAGAATTTATGTTCGTTATCAAGAGTCATAATACAAGTCGTGAGCTATTTCAGGGATACATTAAAATCAAGCATGTACAGAAATATAATTATCTAGGTCGTATCATAACAGGCGACGGAATATGTGACACTGAAATCCGAAGAGGAATCGTATTAGCGAAAGATGTTTTCTTGAAGATAAACAAAGAATTAAGAGATGGTGAAATTTTGTTAGAAACAAAGAAAAGTATTTTGATCTGCTCTGTAACTAAGCTCTGAGATGGCAGTGAAATTCCACACAGATGAAGATGAGACATTGCGTGATAGATAGGGTCTACAGAATGATGCAGAGAAGATCATAGATGGAAAATGTGAGCTAGCAAAATGAAAACTAACGAGAAACATGTACTTAGAATAACCTTTTCGGGGACATCTAATGAGGAAGGAAGAAACACCGCCATACTACATTTCAATTATCTATTAATGCCTTTGAACTATATTCACAGTCGTCCACTGTATGACGATAAACTACATCCGGCACAAAGCCTCTGATTGGTAGAGTGGAGGTTTTGAGGAACGTGGAACCACCTCTTAATTGCTACTGTTCCCAGGTACACTTTGACACAGAGTGACAGCACCTGTTAGCGTCCCAGCTATAGGCTATATATAATGAACACCCAAACAAATTCAATAGTACATTTTTGTATTAAATTTACCAACAATAAAATTGATGATCTACAAAATATATATCTAAGGACTTAACTTTACTCAGAAAGTATAAAATCACGTACAAAATATCTGTAGTTGAAGTCATAAAATGATGTTCGAAATATTTAGATATCGGCATTAAATAACCCATAGAGGTGTTGATATGCCGCCAAACAAAATCAACCAATCAAACAACCAATATGAAGGAACACTTTCATGACATCTCTATCTATAAAAGGCAGGATGTGTGTTTGTGTGTGTGTGTGTGTGTAACGAATGCACGGCCGCAATTTTTGACGGATTTGCACCAAACTTTACATGCACATGATCTAAGTTAGCGGAAAGGCCAAGACCGACTTTGCATTTACCAACTCCCATCGATAGTGGAAATAATCGATTTTTTCATGCTTCTACGGCAGTTTTCATGTAGTTTGCGGCCAGAGTAAGAGCCTATAGCTGGCTGCCACGAATAGGCAGGAAGATTCTATTGGCCAGCGTGAGAGCCAACAGCTGACTGACACGAATGTTAACTAGTATGCTAGCATGCAAAAAAATCAATAGCTGCATTCGTCACGAGTGGGAACAATTTAAATCTGCATGGCAATTTACTCCAATTGGCTCATTCGCTTGCTTAAACTCAACATTGATTCTGAATCCGCAGAACTGGGTTGGGTGTGAAAAAGTATTTGTTGTTAACATTCTTTTTTCATTCGGTTTTTCCAGTTACGAGTCCTTTTTTAAAGCTGATCGTTTTGTGTTCATTTTGTTTCGTTCTTTTTTCGTAACAGATTTAATGTTTAGTATAGAGCTTAGAAAAAAATTCTCAGTGTGAGATAGGTAAGAAGTAAGGCATGTAGCAACATCAGTACGGTAAAGAGCACTCATTTAAAGGCAAGGAAGGGCAAAAATATATTAAGTCAAGTGATAGCGATTGCTCTATGAGTCGTACGATTTTTGAATCAAGTACGGACAACGCCGGGTCATGCTGCTAGTTAATCCATATAATATTGTAAAATTTCTAGAAGAAACCAAATTGTATTCTAAAATAAACTAACTTCAACAAAACTACAAAATAAAATACACATATCACCGCCTCTAGTAATCATGTCTACACAAACATGTATATGCACAAAAACTGAGTATCCTCGAGGGATTCAAAATCCAGAAAGAAAATATAGA